AAAAATCATAATAAAATGAAAATAAACTTAAAATTATTTTTTTCAATTTCTAAAATTTATTAACATGTCCAAGAACATTGTGTAAAAAGATAAGAAATTAATATGGTGATTTACTATTTTTTATGAATTAAAAGCTAGCAAGCAAAATATAAAGAAAAAGAGAAAAAGAAAGGAAAATAAACAAATACGTGTGCCCAACAGCAAAAAGAAACAGTTAACAATTGGACTAGGCCTGGAAGGGGTGTGTGGATAGAAACACAGGTCAAGCCCACTCTGGTTTATTAATGAAGCGCAGCGTTTTGGGAGAGGGTAAGGTGGCTAGCTCTCGTGCGTGAGATATGCATACGAAGTCAAGGTTTTCAACGAGATCAGACGGCCAGTATGCTTCTTCTTCACTTGAAAGAAAAAAGAGAGGGAAACGCAGGGACAATCACACGCGGTGGCCGGTGTTGCGCCGGTCATCTTCAACCTTGCACCCAAAAACCTAAATCCCTCAAAATTCCACCAAATCCAAAGTTTCTTGAACCAAACATGCTCCAATTTTCATGAGGAATCATAATATGGTGTTGAATTGAACTGTTAACCATTAAAACGCCAAACCCGTGCCCAATCCAAGAAATCCCAAGAACACTAAATCTTCATGAAAGTTCTCCAAATGATACCAGAACCATGATACATCTCAAGGGGATTGTAATGGTACAAAAATGGCTCCATAAAAATGCATACATAATGAGATATCTTGATTTGAAAATACCTCTAAAATTGATGATGGATAGCTTCAAACAGCCAATGATCCTTCAAGAAATCTATGCAGAATCATTCCATGATTGTTGCTGAAGATGTTTGGATGGTTGAAATGCCTTGAATTGGAGTGGAATTGAGAATTCGAATTTTCACTTTGAACTCTCTTTGATCAACTTGCAACAGTCTGTTCTTCACCAAATTTTATCCAAAAAAATCATGGATTCACTCTATAATACTTATAGAAAGTGTTTGTGACAAATTGGGGGCCCAATTGTGGCTTAAACATCAAATTGGATTTTTGAAGTTGGAAGCCCATGGAAGTGCTTCAATTCATGGCCAAAATCCCTTGTTTCTGATTCAATTCCATCCCTTGCAATGTAAGGAAGATCAAGGGCTCACAAATTCCCCTTGTTTGGATCTTAATGGCTATGATCCATTATGTTGCTTAAACATGAAGAAAGCTTGAAATACCCCATAAAACATGTCTCAAATGCAATTGATTTTGTCACCAATGTTCTTATAATGTGTTTTCCATTCAAAATAAGCACAAATATGACCATATTTGATTAAATTTTGGCAAGATCACAAACTTAGGTTTTCACATGCGTTTCACAAAATCTTCTTCACCAATCTTCAACTACAAGCTAGCCCATTGATAACTTGAGGTTTAGTTGACAAAATGACCCTATTTGGAGAAACTTTCATGTTGGAAAAAAAATTCCATTTGAGTTATGCAAAGTGGTGAACTTGACCTGTAATTTTATGACCTATAATCAAAGTTTCCCAAAATACATCTGCCTTGCAAAGCTTGTAACTTGTCTGGCTTATAACTTGAGTTCTACAAATCCAAAGGAGGACTTCTAGTACTCAAATTAAAGGTATGAACATGCTCTACAACATTCATGTTTGGGCCAAAGTCATGTGAGACTTGTATCTTGACTTGTGTGGTCTTGAAGTTAGGCATTAAATAGTGGATTTTACACTGAGAACCCTGACTTAGCAACTCCTCACACTTTGACTTCTTCTTGAATTAATCTTGGAATAACATCTCAAATGCTTCAATATAACATTCCATGACCACCATGACTTAGAAATAGACTTTGATTCTCTTCAATGGCACAATTGACTTAGAATTGACTAGATGAAAACCCTAATTGCAACCCCTTCAACTGTGACTCTTCACATTTGTCATAAACACTTGACTGAGCTCCACAATGACCCTCAAGGCACTCCATGAGCTCTATCCACATACCCTATCCATAATCAAGACTTCACAACCTATTGATGGTCTTCAATTGGCCCTCAAGTTAGGAGATGAACCACATACAAGCATCCAAACTTCTCAAGAACACAAACCACTTCCTGATGACTTTAGTGACCTCTCAAGCTTGAATAAAACCTCTAGATAGGCTCCTCTTGATATAAATCACACTTGATCCCCTGCATAAATGCTAATGCAATGCTTATGATAATGCTATGATGATGACATGCTAATGCAATGAAACATAAACCAAGTAAGAAAAATGTTAGGCAAATTTTGGGGTACAACACCTATGGATCAGGTCCGTTTTTCCATTCGTCGTCATCATGCCACATATTAACTAATATTATTTTTTTATTATTTTTTTTTATCTAATTCATCATTGCCACGTCATTCTCACCACTGCAAATTTGAAGAGGATGAAAAAAAACCTGAAAATGTTAAACAAGGGGACTAAAATGCTATTTTTTAAAATGAAAATAAAATAAAATCAATGAGACCAAAAATACTTAAGTCTAAAAATGATAAGAAAATTACATTAGAAAACTAATAAATTTAATAAAGAAAAAGAAATTTTATATTTGACTTTTTTTTAAATAACTTAAGAATTGTAGAAAGTTGAAGAGATTCTAGGATGTGTCTACAACTTGAAGGAATTGTAGAAAGTTGTACTCACACTAAAGCTCATGTTCAGCTTGCTGGAACTTGGACCAACCATACATTTTGGAACTCTTTGGAGAATTTCAGAATTTTGAAGCTTTTTTATGTTCTAGTCCATCCTCTTAGACCCTTTTTGACCAAAGAAATTTTTTGGGTGCCCTACTTACCAATTGGGTGAAAGTCAACACTGATGGAGTTGTTAACAATATATCATCAGCTTGTGGTGGTATCTTTCGCAGCAACTCAGGTGATTTTATCGTCGGGTTTTCAAAAAATCAAGGCTTCACAATGCTTTTTTTTTTGCTAAAATTTTTGGAGTTCTAAGAGCTATTGAAGTGGCTCAACAACATCAATGACAACATTTGTGGCTAGAAACTAATTCTTATTTTGTCGCCAAGGCTTTTAACAAGTAAGCATCTATCCATTGGTCTCTTAGAAACAAATGGCATAATTGTCCTACTTATACTAGAAAAATACATTTTTTGATAGACTGACTCTTGTGCCGACTTGTTGAAAAATGAAGATTTTGTGTTATCAAGTTACCAGTTCTTCTTTATTATTCCGCACAGGCTTTTGCCTAGCATTATTTCCAAAAAAGTTAGGTCGGCTAACTTTAGAATTACGCGTTTTTGAATGAGGGCTTAGTTTGATCCCCCTCTTTCTTTTGTAGTTTCTCTTTTTTTAAAGAAATTTGCCTTTATAAATAAAAATGACTTAAATGCACTTTTAATTCCTGATAGTTAACAGATTTTTGAGTTTAGTCCCTGTAATTTATTTATTTTTGGTCTGACTCTCTATATCTCACTTTTTGTGTGCGTTTTAGTCTCTAAAGTCAAAATCCACAAGAAATCTGCAAAAAACCTGCAAATTTTAGTTTTAAGGACTAAACCATGTGCAAAAAGTGAAATATAGGGACTTAGACACACACAAAATGACAGAGACGAAATTCAAAAACTCGTTAATTTACAGGAACCAACAGATTATTTAAGCCATAAATAATTAATTTTTAAAAATTCGCTTTTTAAATATAAATAAGTGTGATGTCTCAAATACAAATACACATCAATATAATTAGATGTTGTTGCACATAGGGGTGGCAAAACGGACCGCCCGCCCACTCCGCCTTAAGCTCGCAAAAAAAAAAAAGGCGGGGCGGACAAGCTCGCCAAGTGAAATGGGCCTAAAAATCTAGCTCGCCTCGCCAGGTTGGCGAGTGGCGGGCTTGCCCGCCTTCTTTTTTTTTCTTCACTTTTTAAATTATTAATAAGTTTGTTTTTACATTTCAATTATATTTTTCACTTATTTTTTAGAACAATTTTTATAAAGTATCTTTTTAACAAATTTTATTTCAAAAAAATATTGTATATATTCTCAAATAAATGTATAAAATAAAACGATTAAGAATTAAAATTATTAGAATTAACTAAAAATTGATGAATTTAAGGTAGGACAAACTGAACGAATAGGTGCGGCGAACTTTTGCGGACGACGGATTTTAGCGGGACGGGTTTTGGCAAATCCCAACCAACCTGCTACTTTTTGGCGGGCGCATGGGCTAGCTTGATGGGTCACGACTCGTTTTGTCCTCCCAAATTATACAACTATTAATTGAACTGATTTTAAAAAACAATATTGATATTTAATTCTTTTAATAATTTAAAGATTAAAATTTCCACCAATGTAAAATGTGGCAAATTCAGATTCGTGTCTCCCTTATAAGATGTGTGTGCACAATTACTAACGAAATTGAGGGATAAAATTAGTAATCAACATAAATATACATTGAAAAGAGAATTAAATGAATAAATTTAAAAAAAAAAAGATTTTTATTTTTCAAAAGAAAAATGTATATTCAATTTTAAATGTTAAACTTAACTCCAAATTATAAATCCATTATTAATTTTATTTGGACAAATAGCAATTATACTTAATTTTTAAATTTAAGTTTTATAAATTAATATATATCCTTACCTCCTTTTGATAGAAATTTAAAAAGTATGAGCCAAACAAAGAACTTGTACTTTATTTATTGAAGAGGTTATACATCACATATGACTCAAGGAAATTCATGAAACTATATATGTATATGGCTTTTGCCTTACAAAGAACTTTCATTGAAATTGAATGACCGAAACAAAGAACTTCCATTGAACAAGTTATACCTCACAAAATTCATGAAGCTATATCACCATAGCAATCAAAAGAGAATGCTTTCATTTCCAAGAAAACTCAATAATTTCATTGAAACGGTTCACATTATAAATATATGAATCAACAAATCTAATTTGTTCAACTTCCATTATATTATTGCCATAGTTCTTTGAAACTATTAGAAATGGTGTCTACTTCACAATCATATATCTATGAAGATTTGAATCCAAAAATTGAAACACAGGATACTCCAGAATCACACCTTTTCATAGTTCACATTCCTGATGGTATTGCACAATTTTTTATTTTATGTTTAAATCTTTTTAAATAAATTTTTAAATCAATTACACGATAGAGTCGATTAGGTAGACACCGTTTTGTAAACTAGATGTCTTTAACCTAACTAACTAAAGTTCGACTTTAATTTTTAAAAAAAAATGTTTGTATTTAGTATTTGCAATAGTTAGTATTATTTTAGTTATTTTCATTATTTGAAATACTAAACAACATTTTGCAAATTATTGAATGCATTTTACAGGTTTTGCAAGAGGAGATATTGGTGCTAAAATTGAGTATGATTTCGGAAGCGTGAAAGTTTTTGGTGAAAAATCAATTGGATCAAATAAAATAATGCGTTTCAGTGAAAAGCATATAGTTCCATCACATTGTGATATTGGCAATATTAGAGGCAAGTTTGATGGAAAAACTGTCACTGTTACAATGCCAAATATTACAAATAAATCAACATACTCAATGATCATTGAGAATAAAAGTGATAGAAAGAGCTTTGGTGAATCAACAAGAACAAGAATCAAAGACATGGCTTTATCTACAACTCAAGCTGTAACTAATTGTGCAAAGAGGTTCAATGAAGAAGATAAACAAAAGCTAATTTATACTGGTGCAACAATTCTTGTCGTAGCACTCAGTGTTTACGCTTCTTACGAGTATCGTTCCTCGCGTAGACCATAAACAAATAGCATATCTAAAAGATTTAATTTACTACCATATAGTATCTATCATACTTGACAAAGAAATCAGAATTTATATAGTGGTGGAAACCTGAGTTTATTCTCTCTTAAGCTTGTGTTTTTCTAGATCATTTCCTAAGTTTCTTGTAATAATTATTGTTTCTGGTTTAACTATCATTATGAATATTGTTTCATTGTTGTTAAGTACGCACCCTTGTGTTATGTTTACTGATTCATAATATTTGGCACTCTTATTGAGTTAGCTGAGAGCACGTAATATTGAATGTGATGACAACTTCGGTTTCGTTCAGTAAGAGAGAGGATGACTACCAATATATATGTTGTCATCTTATATAAAAATGAAGACGCATAAGGAATCATACACAAAGCTTTATGAGAATAAAACAAATTACAATGCAATTCTCAATGCTCTAGTTCCTTCTCTTACCGATTCGTCTCCGTTTTAAAAATGGATGTGCTTCTTGAAAATGGGACACTATAACAAATGCTTATAATGTGGTGTTTATTTATTTAAGATGATATGGTTTCTCCGAAACTTTCTTTTCACTTTGGAGTAAGCCACCTCAAAACTCATCCGAATGCATAATGTATATTATTTGGCTATCAAGAAAACAACATGTTGTTTAGGTTTATTTGAAACCGGGATCACTTTCTAGTGTGGATGGAAAAGTTCACCAAATTGAATGACATTGAAAGAGAAAAAAATAAGGAAAAATCGAAAAATTAACCTCCAATAGATTTAGACAGTGACATATAGTTGATGCATTTTAATTGTAATCTAACAATGTAACACATTTTTATATGTAACACATTGCATAATGTTATAAAATTTGATGGTATTTTTTTGACAATTTGTGTTTTAAAATTCTGCTCGGCATGATATATATGTTTTGTTCTGCATAATTTTTGGGTGGATTCGGAGATACATCTTTTGACACACCTTTTAATTATTGAATAAAACAAAATAAGGGATTATACGTATGTACTTTTCCAGATAAACCCTTATTTTTGAAAGAAAAAAGGCGGATCCGAAGATGTATCTCTGAAGTCTTTTTGTCTATATGATAGGTTTTGTAAGATCCTTATTGCTCTACAACTTCTATAAATAATGTCTTTCATTCCATTTTCTTTAGAAAAAACAGAATAAACCCATATTCCCATCTAACATTTATGTATTTCAATTACGCAAATCCTTGACTTCAGTTTAGGGTCTTCGAGAACATACTACACGTCGATCTGAAATTCAAACTGACTACTCTCATGCGATATCCAAACAATCATAGAGTTATCAAACTCGAGTATCGTTCACCCTCGATTGACAACGAAGAAAAGATATGGTTCATCATGCTTGAAGTGAAGACGGATATTGATTTGAAGGTCATGGGGAGTACCTTTTATCATTACTCAGCAAAGGATCTGAATGAAGTGGATGCGAGATTCAAATATCAGCCGAAGATATTATAAGAATGTTGCAACGTCCTGAACCACCCATTTGTAATGACATGTAGTGTTAAATTTCTATTAACGTCAACAATTATTCATGTAATGTTTATTTCGATGTTAATGTATGTTGTTTTTCCATTCTCCCTATGTTCCCGCTTGTTCTAGTTAGAAATAACATAGTAATTTTTTAAGTTACATCTCCGAAAATCTCACAGAATATTGAACTTAGGGGGTTACGGAGACGCATCTCCAAATTAACCTTTTATGTATACAGAGATGCATCTCTGAACTAAAGTTTAACAGAATAAGGGTTTCTCAACAATTTTGTTTAAGGTGTCTGTGGAAAAGGTGTGCTCAGATATGCATCTCTGAATACTATAGAAATTTGAGACTTTTACGGTGGTGGGGGAGATCACATAAATGTGAAAAGAGCAACATCAAAATTATAATGTGAATACTAGGTTACTTTTGTGGTTGTTCAGTTATGGGATTAAAGGATGTTCTTGGACTTTCTTTGGCAAGAGTATGGGATATTAATCTTCATGTAACACAAGTCAAGGAAGATTTGCTTTGATTATATTCCCAAAATCACAATGATGCTTGAAAATTCCTAGTTAGCATGATCAGTAGGCCATTTCCTAGGAACCATGCATCTCTTGTTGAGGATAAACGGAGTTTTGTATTGACCTTTTATGTGTGTTATCTTGGTAGCAACACTATAATCATTAAACAATTGTTGAGTAATCATTTTGATATCAATAGTTTTGTTTCAATTTTGGTTTATCTCAACATTGACACGATTAGTAACTCTAGTAGTGTCAGTCTTAGTGATGCTCATATTTATTGAGAAAAACAATTGTGAGTTGGAAGAGTTGAGAATCAAGTGAAGTAGAAGTCTCATATTGATTAGAAAAATGAATATTGAACACTTTATAAGTGAGAGAACTCATACAACTATCACCTTAAGGTTTTAAATGAATATGTATTGTGTCTCTCAAAAAATGTGTTGTTCATAAAAAAAGACCCTGACATAAATATGTTGACCCCCTTAATTGATGACCCCAATAATATTAACATTAGCAACATGAGAAGTAATATTTCTTATATGTCTTGTATTCGTAAAGTTGATTTTGTGACTTTATCTCAAATAAAAGTTAGAGAGGAAAAGAGAACTTTCACTTCTAGGAGAAAACAAGAGAAAGACAAATTCAAAGGAAACTAGAAAGAACTTGTGAAAAAAATTCTTAATTTAAAGAGAAAATTCAAAATGAAAAGAGTAATAAAAGAAATGAAAATTCATACAACTATTCTCTTAAAATTTTGAGTGAATATGTTGTATGTCTCTAAAAAAAAATTATTATTTATAAGGAAAGATCACAGTGTAAATGCTTCTTCATATTAACCCTCTAAATTGACCACTCAATAATATTAACACTAGTAAAATAAAAATTAATGTTTCTTCCACTTCTTGTATTTGTAAAGTTGATTTTGTGACTTTATCTCATATAGAAGTTAAAGGTAGAAAAGACAAAAGAAGAAAACAAGAGAGACAAATTGAAAGGAAGTTATTGAAAAAAAATCTTAATTTAAAGAGAAAATTCAAAATGAAAAATGTAATAAAAGAAATGCAAAGGTGATGAAAGAGTCATTATTGCAATGAAATCTTATATACATTATTCTACTTAATCATTCTTTAGAGTAAATAAGAATGCATAAACAACTTTGTTTTGAATCGTTCAATTTATTGATTAAATTGAATGGAGAGGAACTTGATTGTGTAGTTTGCTATCTTCATAATCTGCATCTCGCTTAATATTGAGAACCTCATAATGAGTTTCCTCCGTGTCATAGTTATCGATTATCATTTTTTCAAGGTTGTCTGCATTCAGGAGAAACTATCATAAACAAGCAAATAATCAATACTATGTCACCTATAAAGTACTGCAATTCTAATTGCAACTATTCAAATCAAGTTTTTACAAACTCTCTTCTTTAGAACAGATCTTAAAATCCATGGAATCATTTGTTTATTTCCATAGAATCATCGGTCGTAAGTGGAGAAAATCTGAAACAGTAGTAAGGGCAAATGTAGCACCAACACTTCTGAATAAAGACATGTATGTATCCGACACGATCCCAAGACATGTGATTACACTCGATTAAATCATTTTTTATAGTATTACCGAGAGTCATGTCTCGTGTATGCATGGTTGTCAAAATCTAGATTTAAATCGTGAGATCTTAAGATTTTACAAGTTTTCACCATGCTCCGCGGCGGCGCGGTTGGAGTGGGGTGTAAGATCGTAAAAACGTGAAAGCAAAGATCTATTTCGCAATGGAAAATTTGTCCAACCTGTTTCGACCCGACCCGGTCCAATGCCCATTGAAGAAGGTGACTCGTTCAGCTTTTTCTACCTGTCGCTTCACATTAAATTAGCCGTTTTTCATCCTTAAAAGTCAGAATTTGTTGCTATCTACCAGGCTGATTTTTTGGGGAAATTAAAAATCAATCTGAAAAAATATCAATTTGTTAAATGATATCATTTATTCTTCTTCAATTCCATATATAAATCAATCATACGATTTCTATTCAATCATCAACTTCTTTTCTTCTTTAGTTATACGATCTCTACCACACTTTTTTCTAAGGTCTTCATCAATTCCAGTTCATGTATCCTCATCTGCACCACCAAAAGTTCAAAAAAAATACTCCTGGAATGGAAACATGGTGTCTCTGTTGATAAAGGAACACGAAAAATCAGATACAATTATTGTTCAAAGGAAGTAATCAGAGGAGTGTACAGGCTGAAACATCATTTAGCTTGTACACAGATAAACGTTGGTGTGTGTAAATCTGTACCTGATGATGTTAAAGTCCAAATGTGGGAGATTTTAAAGTCTCTGCAAAACAATTTGCTAAAAGAACAGAGGATGCAAATGAAATAGTAACAGGAAAGAGGCCATTGGAGGATGATGATAATGTTGCGCCTGAAAAAAATTTAAGAAGAAGGGCATGAATACTCAATCCACCATCAACTCCATCTTCAAAAAGAATTTGAGAGAAGAAGCATGTCTTGAAATTGCTTCATTCTTCTACAACAATGCCATAGCTTTTAATGTGGCAAAAAGTGAAGAATTTCAAAAAATGTTGGAGATGGTTTCAAGACATGGTCTTGGATTCAAACCACCTTCATATCATGAATTCAGAACAAAGTACTTGAAGCATAAAATGGAGGAGACAAAGAAATTCATTGAAGAACACAAGCTTATTTGAGAGAATACAGGATGCACTATAATGAGTGATGGGTGGACAGACAAAAGAAGAAGAACAATATTGAATTTCTTAGTGAACAACCCTAAAGGTACCGTCTTTTTAAAGTCCATTGATGCCTCACACATTACAAAAACTGTTGATGCAATTTTTAAGATGATTGATGACATTGTGGAAGAAGTGGGAGAAAAAAATGTTGTGCAAATTGTCCCTGACAATGCTGCAAACTACAAAGCAGCAGGTACAATGTTAATGGAAAAGCGAAA